TCTTGGTTAGTTTTTTTGATGTTATCCATCACGCCTCTTATTTCTTTATTATGTTCCTTTTTCGATATCGCTTTTTTGCTCTATTTTATTAATTTATTTAGTCTCAGCTATGCTCATCATTTATTTGAGAGCATCATCCACATTAGAAATGTAAGTCATGCAGTCATCACACATGAGGCGCAAAAACTTACAATTTGCCAACCCTTGCAAACAGCAATCGTCTATTTGTGCACACGCAATTGTATTGTGGTACACTCTCCCACACACACCAGCACAGCTCACACCGGTTTCTCCTCTGATGCCTTTTCGACATCTTCCGCACTCCGTCATTCTCCCACTCACCGCTACGTTTTCTTTGTTTATAAGAGCGAACGAATTTTGTGTACGTATGTTTGTTTGGTTGCGTATATTTATTTTAATAATATTAATAGAGTTTATTTGTATACATCACTTTCGCAAAAGTATTTAAAATTTTTAAACATTTGTACCTATATGTACGTAATTTAAACTCTCACTAATATGTGTCTTTTAACACTTTTCGACGAGCGATCAAAAAACACGTCCGTCAGCTTTGACGTTAAACTTGCAAAAGGCATGTTTCAATTCGTCGCTGGACCAAGGGTGCCGAGCGGTAAAATGCCGGCGCAAGGCTTCGAGTGCTAAGCGGGCTTCACATGTTCATAAGAACATGTTCTTTTAAAATGCTTACCTTATTTTAATCCGTGCTATGTTGTTGCCCAAGTGAACGTTGAAAGCGTACTGAAATAAGAAGGTCACGTGCCGCCCACGTTGCCTGTCCTGTCAAACAAAGACAAACACAGGGTTGTTACAGCAACGCCTAGTCAACTACCACAGTCACGCACAAGGGTGCAGGGTTGCTCAGTGAACATTGAAAGGGGTAATCATAAGTTTGGTTTAAGCGTACTCTCAAACACCTAAATGTGCTACTCTTCCATGCAAATTTCTGTAATGTGCTACTCTTCTACGCGAATAGTGAAATGTGCTAGTCTTCCACGCGAAAATCTGAAATGTGCTACTTTTCGACGCGAATAATGAAATGTGCTAGTTTTCGACGCGAATAGTGAAACGTGCTAGTCTTCTACGGTAATTTGAGATGTGCTACTCTTCGTTGGGAGAGCCCTCCTTCTTTGGCACCACAGAAAAGAGAATTCTACTGCCTGAGGGTTATAATCCCTATAGCGTTATACATAGCGTTAAGTGTAGTTATTTACATCTTTGTTTAGTAAAAAAATGTTTTTTTTTTCAAAAAATATATATATTTTGTTCTATTACATGTTTTTGTCCACATAAAGTATATTCATATGAAGATTAGAAAAAAGTTGTATTTACCTTTTCAACCATACCAATTTTTTAAAATTCGGTCAGGAATTTTTTGAGATATAGACATTTTAAATTTTCGAAAACTCCGCGTTCACCCCTCCATATCACCGTAAATATAAGTTTGCGCCAAAAAAATTTTATACCAGTAAAATCAGGAAAAAGGGCTGACAGCATCCACTGTTTCGCACAATCCAGAAAATAAAGGTCGCGCCATTCGCGGACCGCTAACCCTTTCTTCGTCGATTTGACAGCATCCACCCATTCGCTGACGTCACACAATACTTTTGTTTGCTTTTTCTGGTTCGTGACATTGTAGGTTATTTCAATGTTTTGTTTTTTGTGAAAACTTATAAAAAATTTATAAATTAAAGAAAAAAAATTAGGTGCGCAGTGGTTAATTGTGCTAGTGTTAGTGCCAAAGGATCTGGGTGCTGTTTTTTGCTTTTCCGGCCGACACTGAGTTGGTGGAAAAGTGGATCCAGTTCTGCCGGAGACCAACGGATTTCAATGCCGGACCAGCGTCATCTGTGTAAAACACTTCACCACTGATGACTTCGAGAACGAGCTTCAATATAAAATGGGTAAGTTATACTATTTAATTCGCCAATACATGCTTATTGGATTTCGTGAGCATGGTGTGACTCGGAAGTAAATTTCACGAAAGGTAGCCGCCCTCATCGTAAATGTGAAACCCCCCGGAAGCTTATATTTTTTTACTTTTCATTAATACTGCATTTTATTAAAAGAAATGTTTTAAATTATGTTAGGCTACGCTACAAAGCGTAAACTAAAGCGGGGCGTTGTGCCGACAATTTTCAAGCCTGCTGCGGTAATACCAGATCCTGACAAGGAAGCCCAGCAGCAAGTGTACAAAATCATTGTGAGCGATCTACTGGAGCAAACATTAGCTCCTCTGTGTTTGTATACATAAAGGGCCCTTTTCCCGTCCGCAAAGAATTTACAAAGGGATCAAATGCTTTATATAAGCTTATCTGGGTCTACATACACAATACCATATATACACAAAAGGCCCTTTTCAGGGCCGCAAAAAATTAACAAAGAGATCAATTTTTGACTGTCGTGATAACGAATAAGAAATGTACATATCGTCGTCTAAAGTACAAAACCGCGTATCAACAAAATGCAAAACCGCGTATCATGATAATGCAAAACCCCGTATGTGAGGTTGCATAAATCACCACCAACTATTTTTTAATTGTGTGAAATTTCATAATAAAACTTTTATGTTAGCTTGTGAATTCCTTAAATACAACTTGCTTATATAAAACATCTCCCTAGTTTTTACATGTTAAAATGTTAACAAACATAACTGTTATGAATTTACTAAATTTGCCGCAATTTGTATTCTTTGTTTGCAAAGACCTATAAATTGAATCCGGCATCAGATCATATGCAATAAACGGCAACATTTCATTACGATGTATTTTTTGTTTATTTGCTATTTGAAAATATAACACGTTCCCCTGATAAAGCCTTTTTTTTTAAATACATACCTTTTGCTTCCTACCGGAAATGTTAAGCCGTATGCATAAAAACTAAGCAATTGCTTTTTTCTTGAAATTGCATACCTTTCACTTAAATTTGTTTGAACATAATATTTGAATTATTAATAAACAAGCACATGTACTTATTGCCAATAACAATTTCTACTTTATTTAGTTTTAAACTTTTCTTTATATATTTGTGATTACATAAATCGGTTCTCGTTTTATTACACAGGATCATCTCTACTTTTTATAGAAAATTTTTTAAAAAAAGGGAAACTAAGTGAAGTAATTTTATTATTGGCAGAATTACTGCCTAACCCTACATGACTGCTTCTAAAAGCTATCGTGTTTCACGTGGCATATAAGACTCAATTTCATTATTACATTAGTGTGATTTATATGTATGTATATGAATAGGATATTATATATTTATGTATTTAAAAACCCACAACTTTAAGACCGCGCCTCTGAACTTGTTAAAATCTTGCCGTGTCACAAACATATTCGTTATTAGCACGCCCTGTTTCGCTGTACTCGAGCGAACAGTGTTAGCAGCAACTGGTGACTGCCCGAATTGATGCCGACGCGCTTTTTGTTGTTTGAGATTTTCTATACGCACTTCTAGGATCTGTTTGAAGTCAGTGCCCATGCTGGCTAATTTAGATTGTAACGCATACACCATGATGTAAGTCAATTCTTGAATCTCTTGCGGTCGATCGTCAAAAAGACTCTTCTTTTTGGCCACTGCAAAAGAAAAGGTAAAGTAATATTTATAATTAAGAACACCTATTCATTTTATACTCACGCTTTGTCAATTTTTCCAACTTGGCATATACACTTGCTGTGTTTTTGCCATATATGTAATACTCATATATTGGCAGTAAGAGCTAGTACCTCCGAAAACACTACAGTACAGATATATCAATAAACACGTACGAATGAAAAGGAACACATACGTTTATAAATATACATGTACACAACACATATGCAAAAACGGCACTCGAGTACACAATACATTGACAAAAACGGTACTAGGCTGTCTCGCTTTGATTTCGGAATGCTTACACATTGAGAAGTTAGCTTACTGCCAATATAGAAGTATTACATATATGGTTTTTGCCAATATATTTGTGACCATCATAAATTCCTTTCTTTGGCATACGTCAATTGTTGCACCATAGCCTGTAAGAAATGCGTAAACATAATAATGTAAACATCTTCAAATGCATTTCTACTTCTAACTTACTTGTAAGTCTCTAATCTGTTGCTCGTACATAAATTGCGTCTGCGTCAAGGTCTTTATACGATTGCCGCCTTGGTTTACATTGGCCTTATCCGACAACTGGCGTATGATAAGCTGCGCCATTTCCAACTCATTTGACTTTTCTTTGAACAGATGTTCAACATCGGGAGCACGTTGCTGCATTACATCTAACAGCCTTTTCATTTCATCCAGATGAGCCGCTTGATGTGGCCAACACCCAAAAGGTTTGTTTACAAAGTGCATTTTTGAGTAGTTGAACAAATGTCAGTGGGCAGCCAGCGGGTCAGTTGCTGGCAGCAATTTGCAGGCTTGGGCCAGCGATTGTTGCGGCTGCCGGAAAAGTAGGTAAATAATGAAAGTAATTATATGTATAGCGGAGCAGGAGGTTTTCCCTTATTTTAAAAGCTTGGTTACTGATTTCACTAAATGACGACGATGCAACGATCACCGTGGAATCGTTCTGCCAATTGTTACCAGCAAATGACCCGCTGGCTGCCCGCTGGTATTTGTTCAATTACTGGAAAAATGCAAATCATTATAATGATTGCAGTGTTTTAACACTTTCCGCGATTTGCATTGCATTTAATAAGTACACATTCCTTACTTTTAAACAACCAATTTACCATTTAAAATTAAATAATTCCGTAAATCCGCGATTTATTATGCACTTTGCAAACACCCGATTTACATGATTCAAGCACTTGAAAGCAATTCTTGCTCATTCTCTTTTGTGTTTTCTATTTGCTTTTACACGTTTCAATTCTGTTGAATTCAAGTTTGTGGTTCTTTAAGTGGGAAGCAACGAAAATGCCAAAAGCAAAGAAAGAAAGTTGAAACGACTTGACGGTACATACGCATGTGTACTCGTCCCTTTTCTTCTCACCCCCTCTCTTCCACATGCGAGCAGAATTGAATTCAATACTTGAACTGTGTAAAAGCAGTCAAACAAACTTTTCAATTTCGCCCGAGCTGTTCGATTCTGCTTCTTTTTCTTATTGAATTCGTCTTTGCTCTCTCATTCTGGTATATTTTGACGTCATGGCCACTTGCTCTCAGCTCGATTGGCGCAATTTTGTATTCTGTCATTCTTGACTTTTTCGTTATGTTCTACCTTAACGGGCCGTATTCTGCACCTGCTCCTGCACTTATACCAAGATATTTTGTGACATGATTATCCCAAATCAATGTTATTGTGGAGACAGGGCATAATGGACCATCGATACTTTCGATAGTGCCA